GACAGCTTCACATCCATCTATGAAAACTATTACAACTACTACAACTATGAAACTGGTAGAAACTGGTCAGATTCCCTCTGTCCGGATCAAAACTACCAGGCAACAGCAGGCCAAACACTGTTAATCTAATCTACTTGGTTAAAATGTTAAAACCCAGCTGGTGAGTTTTGAAGCTGTATGAAAGAATCTGTAATTCCCCACTCTTGCCGTGCTATCATCAATAAACCTAACTATATGAGTCTTTGAACAGATCAGACTGAGAAGATGTACATCAAAACCCTGAAGTTCACCAACCACAGCAGAGAATCCACAAGAGGGGGCTGTAACACAAGAACAGGACAGAAGGAGTATGATGGGTGATGTAAGACCCCTGAACAAATCTACCTTGAGCTTATTTCTTAACAGTGACACAGCATCGATTTGATTTGTAACTAATGTGTGGTAATCTGGGGATTTCCAGTGGCGTGACTATCATTTGACCACAATGAGTCCAACCATACAGACCTCTTGAACTTACAGAGCTCAAAGGTTGAGGGTAACAGATTTTTATAGAGCAACATCAAGAGTCTGAGTATTTATGATGTACCACAAATACACCGGCTGATTTACTAATTTTTACTTGTAAGGCAAGGCAAGTTTATTTGTATAGCACATTTCATACACAAAGGCAATTCAAAGTGCTTTACATAATTCATTATGTACAAAATACAAATAACAGAAACCGCTTTAAAGGACATTAAAATGGTTGCTGTATAGGTTATACACACAGCACCTATACTGAATGAAGGGTTAGCATCCCCAAACAGGTCTCAGGCTGTCACAAAGTGATTACTGCATATACAAAATTCAATATTGCAGAATTACCAAAGCAGCACAAAAAGAGAGGACAGAAATCTGATATCCTGCCGGTAAATGCCTGTGCATCAGCAGATTTGCAGGCTGGGAACCACTCATCAAGCGAGTATGAGTCATTGTTACTCCACCAGCAGCATCTGGTAAAGGTAAAGGCTAAACACAGACTGCTGTCCTGAGGCTAGAAATGTCCAATGTCACCAACATAACATAAACCGAAGAAAAGAAGAAAAAGGTAGCAGGATTTTAAGAGTTAAGAGATTCAGGCAGGGTTGGGAAATATGGTTATATATGAATGTATATTCACGTTTTTTTATCAGAACAATTAGTGCCTCATCACATAGAACTAGAATTACCAGAAAATGTGTAGGAACTCAAAAATCAGATCACCGGAGATCGGAGAATGTAATCCTATGCAAACCTGTCCTGTGAGAAATGTCCAGAAAAGAGAGTTGAATTGCTTTTAAAGCCAGCAACTGTTGCAGCAAGTGGCAATTATAAAACAACAGTAAATGTAAAAAAGTCGTACAAGAAGAAAAGAGTCATGAAGTCAACTTCAGCGGGAAGTGTTGAATTTAATTAACAGAGGCTTAACACAGAATAAGAACCTACTAATATATTTTGTGATAGTGAGCAGAGTGTTAAGTATGTAGGACTAAGTATCGGATGTATGTACAAAATGTCTGAAACTTGCAGTAAAACTATTGAGTGCAACATTTCTATGGCAACCGGCAGCGCTTGTAGAAGCAGCAGCTGGTAGCTCCTTCAAACTTCACTACACTGTTTCAGTTTTTTCAGGCTTCATTGCCGTAACACACCTCTGACAGAAATAGTCATTGGAAAAGGAAGCTGGTATTTACGGCCCGATTAGCACAACCAGGCACCACGGCGGGTGCGGTTATCGCACAGAGGTGGGGAAAGTGGGCCATGCTGGCCCTGCTTTCACTCCAGGCTGATGCTAAAAGTCCGGTCTGGACAAAATGGGACTCACGATGACCAAGCAACGGAAATCAGAGACTGTTGTGCCCACATCTTTACACCGACCTGCCCCAAGTATGTATATACAATTGTTTTATTTTATTTAAATGTTACCATATTTTAATACACATTTAATTATCTATTAAGTTATGTGTGTGTGGCATGAAGGGACAACACATTTCAGTTTGTTATACAACCTTTGTGTTGTGTATAATGACGAATAAACCACCTTGTACCAAAGGAAGTGTGTATCTTA